ACCCCGGCCCGCCCGCCAGCCCCTGGCCCCGCTCACGCCCAGACTCCCCGACGCCTTCTTTTGTCTTCTCCGAGGTGGTTTTTGGGGTTCCTGCTGGAAGCCGAGCCCACCTGGATCTAGGAGACACCACTGGCGTGAGCAGGGAGAAAGGGCTTTTAAATCAAGGCAAGGGGGGGGATGAGCCCCTCAAAACGTGGGGGCTGCAGGGACTGCACCCGGACCCTCCCGACCTGGATGCACAAACCTTCTCTCACAAATATCCCGCCAGCCAAGTTTGGGAGCAGCTGTAGTCCCAAAGCCACCGGTGACCTAACCACTAGAGGGGGACAAACCCATACCGGGTGAAGCAAGGTCTCCCCAGCCAGCCCCAGCTCCCTGAGACCCTCCCCACCCTGGCTCTAGACCACCGCAATTAAAATGGAGGAAACTCTTGAAATAAAGCAAGCACTGGAGAACAGCGACTGCTCCCATTCCTGATGCAGCCAAAGCATCTGCAGGCAACCTCAGCTTTTGTCTCGCCTGCCCCTGGAGAGCCCAGGAAGCCACTGGGCCACACTGACCAGACACCTGGGTCCAGACTGTCACCACCTGAACTGCCAATGACACTTTTGGGCCCCTGGCACAGGGATGCCCAGCCCTGCAGCGTGGTTTAGCCCAGCACGGAGGATGTGCAGGGTGGCTCCTCCGTCACATTGCCAAGGTCAAGCACATCAGATGGCACGTTGAGGTGACGCCTGGTCAGGCAGGATGGCAGAAAGGTTTTTGGCCCCACGTGCTCCAGGGTGCAGCCCTCCCATTTGGTCCATTTGGACAGCGACCATGGAAACGTCAGACATCTCACGAATGCCTCACCACTGGCACATGCACAGGGAGGGGAGCTCAGCTCACGCTGCGGTTTAGTCTCATCTGACCTGCAGGCAGGAGCACGGCCAGTGCTGCCGTCCCACCAAGGGGGGACCTTTTCGGCACAGCTCACAGGCCACCCTGGCCTTCCTCATCCATCCCTGGTGGAAGCAGCCCCCATTCCTCACCAAGTCCTCTCTGCATCCCGTTGCCCTGCAGCAAAAGGGGGACTCTGCATGCTCTCCCCTGAGACCACTCACTCCTCCCAAAGGCACTCATCGGTGCTTTTATATCCCCTGGGCTTCAGCAAGCTGACTTCTCTTAGTTCGCTGCTTCTCTTAGACATGAGCACCTGGAAAAACAAACTGTCTTGGGAAAGCAGATTCCAGCTGGCAGATTTACTGGGACAGGGAAAGGAGAGCATGAGACACAGGGAACATTTGAGGCAGATGTGACCCATAGGAGGAGCAGACCAGGCAGACAAGAAGAGTAACATGCATTTGTAGAGGAGCGAGGAGATGTCTCTGATCATGGGGAGACCCAGCACAACACGGAGCCAGTGTTGGCAATGCCAGACCAGAGCCTTTGAGATGAGCTCCTGGAGCTCTGGGAGAGGCTCTTCTTGTTTCTACAACACTTGGTGCTCCAACAGCTCCCGCAGAGCCCAAATATAACCCGTTTGTGCCAGTTACTGAGGCCGCAGGGCTTGGTGGCACTGTGGCAAGCAAACGGTTCAGACTTGGGTTCAGCTCCCCACAAGTCAGTCAACAGCAGCTCTGATAGCTCTAAAGCCAGAGCTTCATCGACCATCCTGCTCCTCTGAAGACTCCATGAGGGAAACCAGCATGCCCCAAGAGGGGTCAGAAGCGATGGCAGTCAAAAGCCAATGGGACCTCTCAGAAGTTCCCTCTTTGCCAATGATCTTTCCAACAACTCCAGTCCAGACCATGCACAGAGGCATCACAAAATGCACGGAGATTTTTCAGTAAGTCATCAGTGCTACAAGGCAACATGTTTGCAATCTCATTTCTCAAAGGCAGATCTTCTCCTGAGGCAGTGCTAGAAGCGTTTTGATTTCCATGGGCCCTCCCATTCAAGCCACTGGAGAGCAGCCCTCAGTCACCAGTTCAGAAGGCAACAACGTGGTGTCACCAGGAGCTTTCCAAGGGAGACAGGCAAAGCTAGAAAGGTTAAGGAGAGGCAGAGGTGGCAACATGCTCTTCCTATTCAAGATGCCTGATGCAGCCTTGTCTAGGATAGGTTAACAGAGTCTCAATGGGCAGACAATGCCTCCTGCCATGGAGCTGGAAGCATATCTTTGTCACATCCAAAGCGTCATGTCCCACCATGTGACAGCTCCAGGCTCAACTCCTGACAGGATACAGAAGCACATTTCTTCATGTGACCCAACATACAGACATTCTGAAGTCATGATCACCACACAAGAGGCTGTGGGAAAAGGCAGCATTCTCCTGGTCTGTGCCTGCTCCCGTGTGCCTGGGGACACTGGTTAGCAGAGGGTGGCAGGAAGCATGGTAGGACACTTGATCTGACAGGCGGATCGAGGTGCCAGGTCACTACCTGCACGTCTGGGCTCTGCGATGAGAAAGCGCCATGTTCTGATCCTGGGTAGCAGACTGACCAAATAAACACGCAGGCCACAGCCACAAAAGCCTTCCACAATGCAGCGTCTGCTTAACTGGAAGACAGCTGCGTAGTGACAGCGGCAAAGTTGGGGAGCGCTGGAAACACGTTGATTCTGTGCTTCTCTAGAGCGGGTCTTTCCCAACGGTCCTGTCGGCCAGATCCCAGGTCCATTAATGACCTCACCTGGTGACATAAGGGTAAGAGTACCTGCTGCAGATCGATGGTGCCAGACTCAGGCTAAGATGCCGCGGAGGACCTATGCTTTCTGATTAGCTTAAGTCACTGAAAATGGATTAGGCTCTAGTTCTCCACAGTGCATAAAGAGAAATAGCAGATGAACAGAAGGGATCCAGGTCTGGGGTGCAGCATGAGGGATCCCACATGGATCACACCTCCCGAGAGCTGCGAGGGAAGGCAGGAGCATGAGAACAAGACCCAAGAAGGGAAGAGCTGCACTTACACACAGCCACAGTAGGACTGTGTTCTGGGAGAGTCAGCTACAGTTGTGCAAGAACACAACAGCTATTAGAGGAGGGAGCTATACTGAAGCTTACAAAGGAAACATGACTGAAATAGGATCTATATCTCACATCATGAGTTAGAGATGCATGGATTGCCACTTCATGCCTCTAGCTTGGTAACAACTTGTCCTGTCCTCCCCCAAAAAGAAAAAAAAAAAGTGTTCTCCATACAAGCTAGGTATTGAAAATTAGACCTTCACTCATCGGGCTTTTCAGTGACCAGACCAGTTGAAAGGTTTAGCTAGAACCGTCTTACCCTTTTCCAGGTTTTGTAAGCCAACCTACATTTGCTAGTTCCATCATCTCTAAAGAAAACCTAAGTTTGGAAAGTAGAGGTTTGTATAGTTTGACAAACTTGTCCTGTTTTCTCCAGCCACTGCAGTCTGATGACTAAGGAGCTTCATGCCTTGAGGATGCCCTGTAGCACAGGCTTTACTTGGGAGGCTGCTAGTCCTGAGGGACAGTGTCCTGCAGCTCAGGATACTTCTGAACCTCGGAGGACAGCCAGCTTTAAGGAGCAGGGAAGCTGTTTGCTCTGACCAGACTGCAGGGACTTTCACCTGCAGCTCATCTGCGAGGTACAACCGGACACGGGGGCCGGTGGGTCACATCAAAACCGCAGGCACACATCCATTAACTCCAGAAAATAACAAGTCCTTTGAACAGCTCTCAAAACCCAGCTGGACACTGACAACCTTGAATGCTCTACCTTCAGAACACCCAACACCAGCCTCCCTTTCTCAGTCCAAGAGTGAAACGCTGCACTCACAGCTCTGAGCTTGAGTTTCTCCAGAACATCATATGGTCCGTGGTAGGGCCGAGGTCAGAAACACACGCGCTGCGTACTCAAAGGCCACAGCACACACAGTGCACTTGAAAAAGCCACAGGAAACCAGAAGCGCAGCCCCCTAACAACACCTACTCCCACTCCTTCAGCCAAGCTGCACCAGAACTCAGCCTGCAAACGACAGCCCACCCTGGGACCCCAGAACTGTGCCCTCTGCTCCAAATGCAGCAGAGCACCAGATTTACCCAATGACCCACAAAAAAAATTAGGAAGACAGCGCTCGGAAAAGAAACACGATGGCAAAGACTATGATACACCCATGGCTGTGTCTGGATGTCAGCTTTGGTACAGGAAAGCAGCTGAACAGATCACCATCAGCAAGGAAGGGAGCAAAAGGTAACTGCGGTTTTAGGGACTAAAATGGACTTCTGGGGAATAGGGCAAGGCTGACATTCTCACTTCAGTGCTGAAAGGGCTAAACCACCAAAGCTCACCGAGTCAACTCAACAGGTCTGGCAGATACAGCTTATGGTGTAAAACAGGGTGGCGGGGGCAGGAAGAAAGAAAGAAAAAGACTCATATAATCTAAGGTCACATCCTGTGCAAACAACCCAAAGAAACAAGGCTAAATCCACCTGGGGCAAGGAAAGGGCTCCAACTGTCACAGTATCCAGCAGCCCAAGGAGTCCACAGCCAGAACTGGAAACGAACCGCATTGCGAAACGAGCACTCTTGCACTGACACCTGTAAGGGACCCAGACAGGGCCCAGAGGGTCCCCAGAGGAGTCTCAGCCATGGTCCTGGTAGCCCCGACCCAAAATCTAAGCCAGGGCTGTCCCTCAGCATCAGCTGGTGTAACATTAGCCTTATGTAGAAGAAGAGGACACCAGGCCTGCAGACACATCACCCCCTTGCCCCAGGACGGGGGTAAGGTCAGGGTCAAGCACAGTTTCCCTGTGGGGAAATGCCTTTCCACCTCCAAGGCCGCAAGAAAGCAGATGCGCCCTGGCAGCCCCGAGGAACGGCAGCGCTTGCGGCCTACATACCTTGACATCAGCGATGAGGGCGTCCTCATCCTCAATGCCGGTGGGAACGCACTTCTTGTGCAGAGGGAGCGACTCCAGTTTGTCCACGAGGCAGCGCAGCCCCTCCAGCTCAAACTGCGTCAGGTGCACCTTCCTGTTCTTGCGCGGGCTGCCACTGTTCGGGTCCCAGGCCTGGCCGTTTTGGGAACCCCGGCTGGAGTCGGAAGAGTCTATAGATGGGGTCTTCTTCAGACCCGGCAGGCTGCTCCGGCAGCTCCTGCCCAGTTCATCATAGTCCACACTGGCACCGTTGGCTATGGGGCTGGTGAGAATGGACCGCCTTGTGACCGGTCGCCTGGGTTCCTTCCCTGCTGCATCCTCCTCTTCTTCTTCCTCCTCCTCCTCTTCCATGTTTACTGAGTCCGAGGAGCTCAGCTCCATATCTGCCATAACGGAGAAAGAGTGAGAGAAGAGCACAGTGGCCAGACAATCACTCGCAGGAGGCGTTCAGTTTTTAGAGGAATCCCCGCAGTTACCAGAGATGCTGGAGCAAGAGATACATATGGAGGCAAGGCGAGAGGAAATGATGGGGCACATAGCGGCTAAAGCTCTTTCCCATTCCTGGCTCATTTTGTGGGAAGGCGAGGCACAGGACATGGAAAAACCTCCCAGAGGAGGAGACAGCAACACCCTAGACTGAATTTCATAGAATGGTTTGGGTTGGAAGGGACCTTTAAAGATCATCTAGTCCAAGCCCCCTGCCACGGCAGGGGCATCTTTCACTAGATCAGGTTGCTCAAAGCCCCGTCCAACCTGACTTCGCTTTGGAGGGCTTGGGATCTAGAGCCATCTGGTCCTGTGAGTGACTTGGGACCTTGATCCTGCCTTCAATGATGGGAGAAAGAGGATGTGGACTCACTAGATGACCGTGAGGTCTCTGAGCCCGATTGTGGACGATAAAGCACCCTTCTCTGACAGTAAAAGGGAAGGGGGCTCTCCCGCTCCCTTCCTTTCAGCTCTCTGCACTAGTTCCCACTTCTTGCCGCTCAGCGGTAGAGAAAAGGTGATGAAGGCACTGGAGGCTTCCAGGGAGAATGAGGACAGAGACAGCCTTTCCCAAACCAAGGGCTGAAGGAGATCTCCAGAGAATCACAGGAAAAGGACAAGAGCTGGGAGCTGTGTCCCTCTGCTAGGGCCCCTTGGACAGAAATTGAAAGCTCCAAGGAGAGAGGTGCCCAGGAGGCAGTATTTACAGCCTCTTAGGGGAGTGAGGACAGATTTGCTTCAAGAGCCTTGGGTGGAGGCTATCCAGCTCCCTCCCACTCTGAAGAAGGGTCTGTAAGAAATCATCTCTTGAACCACTGCTCAGGCCCCGCTCACCTTGGCTGTAAGGAGGCCAAACATTCCTTCTGCAAGAGACTCCCTGCATTCCCTTGCACATAACTTTGACAGTACTTTAAACTCCGTGCAGGAAGGCCCTGATCAGCAAGAAAGCATTACTGCCCTGCAGCCCACAGCACAGCAGTGGTTACTGCAACTTCCCTCCGCCTCTTCTGTTAAAGGCTTTGCATGTACCAGCAAGGCCAGGAACTTGTGTGCTGGTTTTGCAGCTGCAAGGAACCTGGCCTGTTGCAGGGGCAAAGGAGGAAGCAAAAGTCTGGCTAATTTTGACTCCTTGCTCAAAGTAGTAAATTGCACCTCTTTCGGCCAGTCTGCAATGCCCTCCAACTGCTCAGTACAGCAAACAGCAAAAAGGGAGGAAATACCCAAAGAAACCACCTTGTGAAATTGAGGAAGTGATGGTCCCAAATTCTTCCCACACAGCCCTCCCCTGCCCGCCGCGCTGCTGAGCCAGACAGTACCCCAACAGGAGGGGGCAAGAAACCGCTTCGATACGGGTGAGGAAGGAATAAGGGCTGGACAGCCAACGCAGCGGGCTTACCCATACTGAGTGATTCCTTCTGGAAGTCCTTGGTCAGATGTGAGCGGCTGGTGATGCAGTAGACATAGCGCTCCAGCACGTACCAACACATCTCATAATAGAAGGGATAACGAAACTTGTTTGGGACCTGTAAAAGAGGCAAGGGGAAGGGGATCAGCTCAGGCCTCCTTCATCACAGGGCTGCACAGAGACAGCTTTTATTACCGCTGCCTCAAACCAGACCGATCCCCTCCTGAGAGACAGGAAACGCATGTACATGTTTAACAGCATCATTCATGCTTCTGGCAGCCTGATGTAATTCTCCTTGCAGAAGAATATTATCACCAGGCAGAGCAGAGACCAGGCACTACTCACTTGCAAGCCATGAACGTTTCATTTTTCTTTGTTAGGGTTGCAGCTTTTCCCCCACAGACCTCCTCATTAGTACGGGAAAACAAGTGGCAGATGCCACAAAGGTTTCAGCTGAAGGTAACGGTTCAAGCCCTCTTCCCAAGCCCCAGCACAGCATCTGACAGTATTTGTACGGGGGGAGGGAAAGCGTTGGTCTATTAAGAGAGGTGTTACCAGCTCAGCTATTTAGCAGAATGCTATCAGGGCTGTCACATCAGCGCCAGCAATTCACACGCAGACAGAAGATGCCACTGACTCTGCTGCCTGCCTCACACCTTCCTGAGGCTACACTACCCAGGGTGGAGCAGGCACGCACTCCATCGTTCTATGTATGTCTCAGCTGCTCTGGATGACAGTCTGACATCAGAGTGCTAACCCACAGGTCCTGCCTGCTGCAGCACCCTGAACTGCTTCGGAGAGGCCAACAGTCTGTCCATCTCAGCCCAGGCGTGTCCTGAGGCTTCTCTGCAGGTGCTGAGCACTGCAGGACCCATGTCTCCACAAGGAGCAAGCGAGAACACCCACTTGCCAACAGCATTCTCTGCTTTAGACCTCAGGAAGCCTTTAGTTTTAGTCATCTTAGACCACATCAAGATCTAAGATCAACACCAAGAGCAGCAGAAGGCAGCCAGGTAAGGGAAGAGGCAACACGTTGGATGCAATCCCACGGACATGTTGCTGCCTTCCCTCTTCAGGCAGCCAGGGGAGGACCCATCACGCTCACAGCAGGTTTCCAGACCCCTCGGAAGCCCGGTGTCAGACTGGAGGCAGTACAAAGGAACACAAGTCTTAGTGCACATTGCAGGCTGTCCCTCTGCCCAAGTTCCTGCCTGTACATTTAGCAGGCTAGGACATCTCGCTTACAGACAGCTGGAGTTCAAGCAATCTGTCACAGAATGAGACTCAACTTGCCTGCCTGCACACCACCGCTCTCGGCTGCGCCCTCCCCACCATCCCAGGAGGCCATGTCCTTCCAACCCTCCCACAGGTCCTTACCCGCGTGCGGTCTTCGATGCTGTAGATCCGGAGCTGCATAGGGATGTTGAAGCTGTGTAAGAAGTTGCCTCCGAAGACCAGGGTGTCCATGGGAGTGTACACAGCATGGATCCAACCTTGGAGAGAAAGCAGAGTTTGAAGAATCCTTCTGAGCGACTAGGTGAGGTCAAAGTCTCACAACTGACAGTCCCTACTAATTCCAATTCCTTTGCAATCTCTTATGAACTGTGCTCTTCAGAGCAGGGCTGTCAAATCTACACAACCTTCACGCTGCTCAGCTAGTCCACCCTGACAGTTGCACCCTTAACCTGCATCCAGGTTAGCTGCAAACACACAGGCTAGCTATTGACCCCTCATCCCAGCAACCAGCCCTAGCAGCAGCAGGGGGTTAGGATGGGACCACAGACTCCAGCTCTTTGAGGAGGGCAGGCATTGCTGTGTTACAGCAACACTGTCCACCCCTCCTGAAGTGTCACTACTGAATTACTCAATACCCAGCTCACTTGACCCATCTAAGAGCTAGAGACAGACTTATACTTAGGCACTTAAATACACCTGTGGATCTGGCCTCACAGCCATGGCAGCACACGTGCCAGTATCCACCTCCCGTCCATAGCTTTTTGTAATCTGGTGTCTCTGTAAAGTTGCTTCCTAGCTGCATTAGGCTTAAGAACACCAGCAGCAAGAAAAAGTCTTCCGAAGTCTATTCAACAATTGAAGAACCCTCAAAGCAACTCTAGTCTCAGCTCTATTATCTCCAAGGCAATCCAGCCAAACCCAACATTTTGGGAATTCCAGCATGGGTTTCCTTAGGGCAAGGCCACTCAATTCAAAAGAAGTGTCAGTCACGGTACCAGGATATAAATGAGTAACTTGTGCAGTCCCTGGTGCTTTTTGCTCCTGGTCCTGCTGTAAGCTACAGGGGTACATGTGTACAACACAGCTTATTCCTGCACTGCTGTTGGAGATGAAAGGGCAGGTTACAGCATCCTTTGCCATCTGAGACAGTCTTACGGGCACAATTTTAATGCTGCTGTTTTATCTGCCTCATCTCTTCTGCCTTTGCTGTTTTCTAGCACAGCACTGTACTAACCATGCATGCAAGACATTGCTGATGCCCTCCAATTATTCTGCCTCCTAAACCAAATCAGGCTAAAGGTTTCTCTTAACTCTTGAGAGTGTTCCCACTCCCAACCTCAAGTCTCCTTGCCCAAGCCCTCTGCAAAGCAGTTACCTGCAAGTCTCTCCATGTTACTGCTTCCCAGCTTCCTACTGGGTTTCACCGTTTTCCAACATCCACTTCTAGCTATACGCTTTCCAGTTCTCCTATCTCCAGTACATGCAGACTTCAATTGTCTTTCCTCATGTCCAGAGCCATCACCTTGCTCCTTAAACTCGCACACTGGCTCCCTTCCTTGCTTCACAATTTCGACATAACTCTGCAGAGATTTCACAAGAGACCCAGGAAGCTGAGGAGCTGTGCTGCCTCGGGCCAGCCTCTGTCCTCAACGTGCACTGCTCTGCATGTCAGCATGATGGGCTCTGGGGAAGCCTCCTTTAATAACTGATCAAGTGTGATGTGAGCCAGCCACAGCTTTCTTGTCGCTTGGGCTGAATCCACAGTGCCACGACAGGCATGTTTTGGGAGCTGTCAAGCAAGAGGATGGAGCCACATCACATCTTCCTCTTCCAGTTACTCACGAGGGAGGAAGCTAAATCCTGCCTGTTCTGATTTTGCTTGTGTCTCAGAAGTTTCAGCCTCCTGCCACAACCCTGGCAAAGGCCAGGATGCGCCTGCCCACCCTGCGGTACCTGAGGGGATGACAAACGTGTAGCCCTGCTTGAGCTCGATGCGCTGGCATTCTGACACTCTGTCCCCAAGAAAAATGTCTCCCTGCTTCCCTGAGAGAAGCCAGTTTTCATAGAGCTCCAGGTTCTGGGGTGTAGGAGGGATCAGCCAGAAGATCTACAAGTAAAGACAACACATGTATGTAAGTCATTGCATAACTAACAGCAACTGACTACCCCCTGCTTCCAAACCTGTCCTGCTCCCTCTCCAGACATCTAAATCTCTTCCTCCCTCCACCCACAGAAGATGCAAATCTCCAGAAATTCGCAGTAAAGTGACCTAAACAGCTGTCCCATTTGAGAGGGCAAGCCGCTGAACAAGGTCCTTCCCGACCTGACGCACTGAGCACCACAGGTAGACTGAGCTTGGGATGCTTTTCAAGGCATTATTTACAACATTGGTGTCAAGAGACATAGAGCCCACTGAAGACACCAGAGTATTAGAGACAAAGGAGATATTTACCTGTGTATTTCTGTCGTGTTAGTAAGAGCTACGACTGAACTAGAGATTTGCACCTGTCTGGCTCCATGCAGTACAGATGGATATCCATCCCCAACTAGGCTCTTCAGAGACTGTTAGCTCATCCTTTGGGGGAAAGCACTGGAGCCACAAACCATCAGAATCACTGGGGAAGTCTGGCAGCTACATCTCCTTTGCAAGGAAAGGTGGGTGAAAAGCCCAGATTCTTCAGGTGGGGCAGAGTTTGCTGCCTTCCCTGAAACTAGTCTAAGTCAGCAGAGAAAGATGGGATGAAATAATTGCCCAGGACTTGTCCTAAAGAAGTGAAGAGTTTTCCTAGACATCTGCCTTTACTGACTGTGGAGGGAGCCTATCCAGCTGCCTGCAGCTGGACAGTTCCTTCGCAGCAGTTACCAACGAAAGGGCTCCCTATCTTAAGGCTGTCCAAGGCTCTTTCTCAGGAGATGTCCAAGCACCACAGGCAGCCTTTTTCACCTCCTGGCTCCTTGATGAATTCAGCCCTAGATGGCTGATGGCTTTTATCAGAAGCAGTGAAGTCTCTTCTAATTGCTCACAAGGATTAAGTTAGGAGCTAGGTGCATTTCATTGGGCAAGAGGTGGGACCTGCCTTTGATAAATTCTGCACTACAGGATGCTTTCCTCCACATTAGCTTTTCCCAGTAATACGAAGCTGAGCTACCACCAGATTTTGCTGCTCTAACTGCATCGATTCAAATGTGCTATGACGAGTCTGTCTGCATCGCTGCTTTCCCCGGCCAGCAGTGCAAAGTTTCCTTGACTACTGTAGAGCTGACAACTGCAGCTAGCAAAAACTTGAATACAAGCTCTTCCATGCTGTTATAGTGGTAACGCTAAAGCACAGACTGAGTCCTGTGACAATGGGCACACTCACCCAACGGCAGTCAGAGGGAAGGTTTTCCCAGCAAGGGCTTTATATTGACTTAATTGTTCAAGTACTAGCTAGACCCTTCAGTGATACAGCACCCAAACTATTACAAATCTGTTTTCTGAAAGTTAAGAGAACAAATAAAACACCCCCACCTGTAAGGGGAGCTTAAGGTGCAACTCACCCTGCCTAAGGGCAAGTGTGAGGAATGGCACCTTCCCAGATCCCCTTCCAGACAGATTTCTTCCAAGCCAGGTCCCAGTACAACACACAGCTGGGGAGACAGATGCCTGGCACAGGGATATCCCTGCACAATTATAACTGGAAGCCACCCATCAGGGAACAAACATTGCACTCAGATGAAGTCTGTAACCAGACAAACTCAAACACGATGGAGCCTGGGGTTCAGTTTTCATATCTTGGACTGAGCTCAGCTATAGGAAGCAACTCCAGACAAGCAGCTCAAATCTGACACTGTTTCAGAGCTACTTCTCACCAGGAACCATTCAAGGGTTTTGCAGTGAAGACCTGTCGCTAACCTTCAGTTCAAATGTTTCTGCTTTTGAGGTCACTTGATGTTTTAAGGTGACCCCCCTCACACATCTGTTGGCTATTAAAACCCCTGGACAGCTTAGCTTTAGGAGAGGCTCCCATTCATCTTTAATTACCTTTCTTCCATTTGCTGCTACTCCCAGCGTGCTATTTGCACCACACCAAGAGGTGATCAGCCATGTAGCCAAATGATCTCTCAGAAACCCAAGGCACTGCATGAATTAGGTATTCTACTCTATGCCATTTAGCCTTTTATAAGGTAGTCTCAGCATCATCGCCACAGCATGGGTTTTCAGCCTGTGCCTGGTGGACCTCTGAGGGCCTGAACTACTTTCAAGAACCACAGATAAACAAATTTAGGGTGGAAAGACTTCAATTCGCTGTCTGGGATTGCATCTTCAAGGATCAACAAGAGAATAGACTAAGAGCCACTCTCCTAAAGCATCTGTAACTTTCCCAACAGGGACTGTCCTCCTACCTTTCCCCCTCGGTGGATGTGGTACCACACAGAAGTACCACCGAAGTCCACGTGGAAATCTGTGTAGCAGCCCTTGACACTCATCAGACAGTATCTGGCAGAAAACAAGATGATGGTAAGGTGAAAATGAGTGGTGATACACACTTTAGAGCAGATACAACATATTTAAAGGGAATAGGCTGCCCAAACCCAGGCCAATGGCTCAGAGCGGTGCCAGACACCAATTACTGCAGTGCTAAGCACTTTAGCTGCAGGGAGGTGGTGGTTTGCAGGAAAGCTCACTTTGCATTTATATCACACCCCCACAAAAAGATCTAGTCCAGGCAAGAGGAGAGCTTTCATCCTCACACGTCCGGCAGCTCTAGAAACCCCCATGTCACAGGTCTGGCCTGTGACAGGATGGCCAGCGCCTAGCAGCTCAACCGACTCCAGATGTCTCAAGGTGGTGAGACCAAGAGTTTCCCCAAAGCGCAGCAAGCTCCTAGAAGCCACGCAACTACCCTTCCATGTGGCATTCGGCAGGGGCTTAACTAACTAACTGCAGTGTCCTTACAAGTGTCACCCGCTGAAACAAACAGGGAGACTGTTCCTCCTGCTTCCCCTTGGTACAAAATGATTCTTCCTCGGGCAGTTTTCTCGCAAGAGATGCTTTGCTGCCTGCCACCACTGGAACAGCTCAGCAAGTCACTTACTTCTGCACCTTTGGATACTGCATCTCCAGGATAGCGTTCGTAGACTCTGTCTGACTCTCCTTCAGGTGTCTGGGCCACATGTTATCAACCCAGTCAATCAAATCCACCTACAGCAGAAAGGTGGGAGACATGAGCAGAGGTGAAAGGGGCACAGTAACCCCTTTTGCTACCCCCAGGCTGTCCTGGAAGCTCAAATACCTATTGCCTGCCTGGTAAGCCCACAGCTCACACATGGCTGGGCACCTGTGGGACGCAGGGTTGCACCGGGTCCACCAAAGCCACTGCGGTGCTGCGCACAGACTGCCAGCCAGCCCAGCTCAGAGCACACCCCCAAACGACGGGACCAAGGAAGGGAAGGAAGCCCTGGTGTTAGCTGAATGGCCACGACATGCCCTTTTTGGCCCTCACACACCCAGCAACCTTCCCAATGCTACTGGTAGAATCCCACACATAAAGCACTTAGGACCAGCTGTTCTGACGCCAGTCGCTGTACAGTGAGCCTCTGAATTCACACCAGCAGCAAACACCACAGTAAGATCCCAAGCACGGTACTGGGATGCTGGTCTTCTACTCAGGGGCTAGGCAGGAACTGCTATGCACTGGGCTTACATAAAAAACATGCTGGGCAGCATCTGCTAAGATGGGATTCAACTTAGTAAGCTTCAGGACAGCCAGAGATGTCCAGGCTCCCTCTACAGTTAACAGAGAGAAGTGAACGGCCCTACAGAGCTGCCCCTTCCCCTCCACTGACTGCAGAGGGAGTTCTGGATGTTCATCCCATCCATCCCACCTTCCACACTTCAGCAAGGGCAACTCGTTCTCCCCCTGCCAAACAGCCCCCTGCGCCCCTTTCAGCACACCTCCAGTCTTGGCCTCCTCTGCTCTCAGAGATTTCAGTACTTTGCATCAGAAACCCTGCCTGCCATGCTGCACAACCCTCTGGAGCCCCAGCTGAACACAGGGTTGCTGTCCTAACGGGACCGTGCTTTCCAAACACCAAGGAAACCACAAAGCTCAACCAGCATCCAGGCTTTAGCTACTCTCTCAAAATGCAGCAAGCATTGCTGAGTTCTGCTGTCCGATTTAGCCCCTGCTGGAGTTTTACAGCTGGCCATGCATTATGGCAAAGCCACCCCTGCCCTGCACGTCTCTTTGGCCACAATGGAGCCGATCGCTGCTGCAGGATGCAGGAGAGGGCTCTGCCCCAAGCATCAGAGCAGCGCAGTGCACAGCACAGAGGGAAGGTAGGCCCAAAACTGAACGACAGCCAAGGTCTTGGCAGGCAGTGGATTCAGCTAACTGGGAGAGGCTGGAAGCCAGTGTCCCCATCTTGTCCCCAACACTCACTGTGGCTGAGCACAAATCTGACCTCTCTATTCGAACTCAAGTGCTTGTTCAAACTCTGTGCCTGTTCTTGATCACCAGCTAGGAGGAGCAGGTTACTTCACTCTAATTATTCCTCAGCCAATCACTTCCATTTCTCTAATTGCTGACAGCTAGTGAACAAGTCAGCTCTCTGCAGAATGACACGCCAGGGACTTGATCGTGGTCACTACAGCTGAGGGATGCACAGGCTGGGCAGCCCCAGCCTGACTGTGAGATCAGCTATAGCAGATGAAGTTCAAGTCAAACAAAGAATCAGCTCCAGCAGCTTCCAGAGCACAGCAGTGACATCCCTGGCTGAGCCCATGCACGCTACGAGCAGCTCCTCTCCTCCCGCATTCAAGTGCCAGGCTGCACCTTGCCTACAGAGGACCACAAACACAAGGGAAAGGACATTCCTGCAGAAGGAAGAGTCACGCTCACCGTAGCAGGTCTCTGCACCAGGTTCTCCAGTTTGGTGTGGCTGAACTCCAGGCTGATGACATTGTAAAGTTTCTCCCGCTCGGCCTCTGGTGTTTCGTAGTAGCGTGCCCACTGTGCCATGGACATCTCAATATCCCTCTGCGTGTTCACATCCATGACATCCACCATCCGTCGGCTCCCTGCCAGAACAGACAGACGTCACTGGAACCGCCCCTGTGCACAGTGGACCATCCAGAAGAAACACTCCAGGAGACATGGGACCCTTCCTCAAAGAACCCACCCACACATGTGCGACGTCTCGGCCTCTCCCATAACTTCATCTTCTTCCATACCCACATTGAAACAGAAGCTGCTTCAGGTCAAACTAGACTCCTCAAGCAGGCAAGAGTTGTGATCCACTGGCAAAGGACAGCTCAGGTTCAACCAGCTGCACACTGGGGGAGCCACAAAACCAGACCTCTAGCTTTGATAAACCCGATGACTCTCCCCATTCCTCCCTATCTGCCCAGGGTGCAGCAGGGGCACACTGTGGTCCCCGGACACTTACCGACACACAGCCGCACATCATTCACACTGAAGTCCGGATCTGGCATCCTGCAGGACAAACACCTTGCTAAAAAAATCATGAAGTGCTTCTGGTTGCAGACCCTTCCCACCTGTAACCCCAGTATTGGCACCCTGAAGATACTACTGCGCTGCTCTTTGCCTCTTGGATGCAACTAGATCTCTGGGGGCACAGGTCTGGGCTGAGTGCTGGGGTGAAACACCGGGCCCAACTTCTGGCTAGGGAAGCAAATTTGGGAACAGGATATACCATCTCTAGAGCATGAGCTGTTGTACAGTGGCTTCTGGCAAATGAGCAGGCAGGCCTCGAGCTAAGCAGTCCTAGCTCTCATTTTAAAGACTGTTCGTATGAGTTATCCCAATATAAAGGACATAGCCAGACCAGTACAAGCAGTATATTTCACTGACACAGCATAACTACTCTAACTGTTTGTACTGGCATATTCATCTGTACAAACACTGCTGTCACAGGCAGAATGGGCAGGCAGCCATTCAAGCAGCTCTTGACCCAGAGAAATAACCAAAAGCTCAGGAGAAATCCAGTTTCGCCCACACTGTAATCCTCCGTATCAAATCTGTGTCCTCCCAAGTCACCCAGCACTTAAAACTGAGCCCGGCACAATTTCCTATCTAATTCACCACAGTACAGATGGTGTTGCCCATCCATTCACAACCAGTTGAGGAAGTTAAGAGCACTGTTGCCGATATTGGCTCTGACAAAATTTGCTAGGGCTAATTTATTCCTCTAACTTTTGTATTAATCAAAACCAAAAAACTGACCCAGCAGAAACACTGTATCAGATCAGTTTTTTTTGATTTTGTAAAAGACAGCTGTAATGTTTTGATGTAGTATTACTTGCCTTAAAACTACACCTACCACCCCATAGCGTATTTATATGAACATCATAAGCCAGCACAAAGTCTTGCATTGGTACAGCTTTACACGCAAAGCTGTAAACCTTAATTGACTTACTGTAGCAAGAGAGAGAGATGGCAGTTTAGAAGAAACGTTGTTGGGCAAATCAGGTTGGAATTCTGGAAAATGCCAGAAATACTACAAATTGCTTGACTCTCTGGCAATAGATGCCTATATTACTAGGAAAGAAACCCAGCCAGATGTTGCATCAGAGCAGCAGCGGGACTTTCCAGACATTTGGTTGAATTGTGATCACCTACAGCCAATTCAGTCGCTTTAAGTTCAAACAGACTAGTAAGAACAGGATAACTGAGGTGGAAGATACTTCTCTCTGCCCACTGCACGTAAAGAACACCATGGACAGGACACAGTCATACCAACTTGGCAGAGCACGGATCCAGCTACCAGGATCAGATCCCACACAATGTGGAGAGAGGCAAGAAATCGGGCCAGAGTCATCCACCACTCTGTGCCCCTGACACTTACTTTATTCCCAGGCCGTCAGAGCTCCTGAAGATGAGAGGGTCTCTCAGGCCGCCCCGCTGGATGTATTCAACTGTGAAGTCTGGCATGGGGAGAAAAGAAGGAAGGTTTTAGGGGAGACTCCTTCAGAGGACTATAGACAAACCAAGGTTAGAAAGAATCTCTGGAGATTTCTAGTTCAACCCTGCTCCCAGCAAACCAACTTCAGACTCGGATCAGGTTGTTCAGGGCCTTGTCCAGTTGAGACCCGAGAACCTCCTCATATCTCTGCGGCAAGGCTAGCCAGCAAAAGTAAGCCTTGTTCCTCGCTATTTCTACACCCCTTCGGAGATCCTGGAACTCCCTTGTGGCAGTTCTGTGAGCAGCATGGTGTGTGCTGCTGACAAGCCTCAGACAGGCCCCCCAGAGAGGGGGGAGTTTGCTCGAACAGGCTGCACCAGACAGGGGAACAGCACGGTTTTTGGTCCTCACTTCCCTAAGAAGCTCACAGCCAAGCGAGAGACGCCTTGAAGAAATGCTCCTCCCTCACGGTAAATCCTCACGAGGCTTGCACTGGCTGTGCGATGAAAAGACATCCCACTGAGCCGTATGCGTGGTGAAAGAAAGGGGAGAGAGCCTACATAGGCTTTGAATTAAGCATCTAGTAGACATGTGGCTGCAATTACAGGTGCTGACCCAGGCGAACCCTCTTGTTCCTGGCTGCCATGTGTCCCAGCAAGCCTTCAGCACTGCAGACTGGCTCATCGCTCTCCAGATCGAGCGGCTTCCATGTCATTTCCCACACACACTCCCTGTTACTAGCTCCCCTGGCCCAAGGGCTTGAGCCAATCCTCCACCAACATGCCTCACGTTGCCTTCAAACTGCTTGGGGACTGCCGCAGGACTTGCAGGGGAGCGGGCAGAAACGGCCCCCGCCTGCTCTGCGCCGCTTGGGTTATGCAAGTAAAGCGGTTTACAGCAGACGGAAGCACAGAACTAGTGTGAACAGCAGACAGTTTTCCCAACTTTAGAGAAGGATGGAATGTAAAAGGCAGCAAAACATAGGACAGTGGGAAAGGATTCCATTAACACCACAATTGCCTTGTAACCGCCCTTCAAGTTGGCAGTCGGGGAGGCTTTGGGTGTAGTCAGATGCACAAGAGCACATCCAACCGTGATCACTGTTAGCTTTCTACGAAAGGCTCGGGGAAAGGTCATCTCACACACCATGCCTCACTGGAGAAGCGGCCAACCACAGCAGCTGTCTGGTTAACTGACAGCAGTAGCACACACTGCAGCACAGCAGTCCCAACACAAACCTTTGCCTTCCATGAAGACCACGAAGGTGGAGTTAAACTTGTTGGTGGACAGCTTTTCCTCGAGGTCAAATGTCCTCTTCCCTTCAATTTCATCATCGGAGATGCCATCATCCTCATAACGCCGCCTCATCGTGCCACGCTGAGGAGAGAACAGACCAGGAAGGTAAGAGTTATGGACCAGGAGGAACAACCAGCTCGCTTCCCAGAGTCTCATCTCAACCTAGCACAGCTCAGGCAGGGCCTCTGGGGGAGCCCTTGCCCTGTAGCAGGCGGTCCCTGGGAAGCCTACGCGCTTCTAATCCCAGAGAGAAGAGACCCTGTACTAATGAGTTATATTATCCACTAGGTCTCTTGCACAAAAAGCACTGTTGGTATCAGTTTTCAAGAGAGACATGCCAGACAAGATCTATTTAGGCAACATCTGTCCTGGATCCAAAACACACCACCGAAACATCAGATTTGCTCCTCCTACAACCAACAGATTTGTGCAAGTTGGGCTGTATGGGAGAGGGATAATTCACTCCTAATGAGTGCTAACACAGAAATATGGGAGGAGGGGAGATAGTTCAGTATAACTGGGGCAAAGGAAAAAGAATCAGTTTCCCATTTTTACAGGTGCATCAGTATTTCACTGCGCTGGAGATAAAGGCACTTGTGAATTTAAATCCCTGCCAGAACACCAGCTGATAAAGGAAGGGGTTTATGCTGAAGACAATTCTCAAGTTTTCGTCTTTGGCTATGCTTGTACACAAAAGCTGATTTATTCCCTTGTTTGTGTGTGTGGGAGTAGCGGGGGGGAAGCAACCCTTTTCTCAGTGGGTCTCATAAGTACATCTGTACTGGGATTCCTGACAGACATCCTCTTCTAGCATTGCTGGATCTGGAAGAAATTACTGTCCCCAGCTGTTAGCCACCCCTCCAGAGACCGGCCCGTGCTCTGGCAGAGCCGTTCGTGGGAATGCTCCCTAAATCCCCTCAGATAAAAGTCAACCTGGTCTGAATTAGCCAAGCTGACTTCCCCCAATTAGGGATGTTCCCATTATAAAGCATTCACACCAATTGTTGTGCCAGCAGACAGCCAGGGACAGGACGGGGCAAGAGGTGACGCAGCAGCTACTGTCACATCTGGGCCTGGAAGCTGGCACCTGCCTGCAGCAGGGAGGCACCGCGGCATCGCAGCACTGGTAGCAGGGTCACATCCCCAGCAACACCACCGGTCCTAGCCACGGACCGTGACGCTGTGATGCTGAAGTTCACCATCGCCGGTGAGGTGACCGGCGTGCACGTCTGTGCATCGCAGTCCCTGCACGACCTCCTGCCGTGGCACACTTCCCACTGCCTGGGGTGGAGCACATTTGATAACTCATTTCTTCCTTCTTTTAGGGTCTCCTGGAAAAGACATGAGCACCCTTTCCCAAGTGAGGGCACACACCTCGGACTCCCCTCCCTGTGGGCAAGCTGCAGATCAGCAGCGATTTGGATGTCATCCAAAGCCACTCTCCACTCACTTCTGTCTTCCTCACCCAGCCAGCCAGGGGTAAGGCAGGGCTTGCTCTCACCACATGAAGTCCCAAGAGGTACAAGCCCACCTTTTGGCGATGGTGAAAGCCCTTGAGTGGGCGAGGGTTTATTTTGCCCCGAGCAGCCAGCCCCAGCCCCAGCCCTGCCTGGCCTCACTCACCTTCCCATTAGCCCCCGGCCTGCCTGCTCCCCCAGCCCATCACACACTACAAAGCTGGATCAAACACGCCCGGGATATTTTCCAGCCTGGTATTAGCCATCTATCAGTTTGAGCACTACATTGCTTTGCTCGTCCCGCTTCTTTTTGGCCTTATCTATTTAAACAGCGCCAGTGAAAGAGAAAGGACTCCCTTGTACAGATGCGCTGCTTTGAAAATGCTTTTTAAACTGATTAGTTCAACCAGTGCAGGAGTATGTCGAAAAGGGACTTTTTTTGCCCCCCCTGTAACATATAAGTTTAGCCTCACACTTTCAAGAAGGCTGACCAATTCACAAGTAGTTTCCCTGCCATCAAGGCAGAGAAGCTTACCTCTCCCTGTTGTTAACACCTCATTAACTTTGCTTGGTTTTCCAAAACCCCCACAGAAACCTGAACACAATAGGGGCACAAGCACCTCATCTGCAAGGCAGGAACACCAGGCTGCTCCTGAATGGGGCATCTCAGAAACAGCCCTGGCACCCCTGTTCTCCAAGGGCCTGTTCCAATGGCCGTGATGATTAAACAATTTGGAAAAGGATTTCGGGTTTGCGGTCCTTTGTCTTAAGCCACTCACTGAACCGGGATAGCAAGCAGGAGTACTTTCTTTCACTGTTTTTAACAATACAAAGATGAAACTAATTTTACTTACAGGCTTTTATGGACACACTTGTATAAATGCACAACGATGCATCAAAAAAAAAAAGACAAAAAGAGGTGCCACCCGCAGAAGCCAAGCGACATATTCCTGGGGGACACTGAATTTCACACTGCTAGAGCCGGACTGCGCACACCAACGCACTGGCTGGGAACTGCTGTGGGGCGCAAGGACCACGCATCCTACTGCTCCCAGCCCCAACCCAGGGGCTGAAACTCCCAAACCCTCAGTCATCTGCCTTTAAACTGAGACCGGCTCTTTCGAGTAGATGCACCAGTTAGAGATGTAGAGGTATTACCGGGAGAAGAGTACCTGGCTGTGTTATATCGGAGGGTGAGCCCACCTTATAAAGCACTTTCCCTTAAAAATCAGTTAACACCGTGTGGTGCTCAGTTTTAAACAGAGGGCACAGTGCAGGGGAGAGGGGGCCTGCCCTGTACAGGATTTAGGGACACAGCCGCACAGGACAGCCTCATGCTCAGCGTTTGCTGAAAAGCCCCAGCGTTTCGGGAAAGGCCCCTTTCAAGCACAGCCCGCCCCAAGCAGGCACACGTCCCGGCAGGTCAGCCCCAGCGCCGGCTCTGCAGCCTTCTGGGAGCATCGCCCCGGCACCCTGCGCTTCCACTGAAATCCAACAGCTAACGGGTGCCGGCCAGGCTTCCAGCTCCCAGGAGAAGCAGAGCTTCTCCCCACATCCGCAACCCTCTCCCCACCGCAAAGCCTCGCATCTCACCTCCGTGCTGATGGTCTGAAACTGTGCAAAAGAGCTGCTTGGGAGGGACGGAGCCGGATGGCCCTGGCATGGCCGCACCACAAGATGCCCATGGTGAGAAAGGATGGAGCAGGTACGCTGCTGTTAGCTGAGGACCTTGTTTGGGTGCCTTGGGCTCTTGGCATGGGCAGGCGGAGCCGTGCTGGCCCCACCTTTGGGGGACAGGAAGCTGCACAACCAGCTCCCATACGTCTCAGCTCCTGTTAACCCACGGGAGACCTTGCTGAACTCCCACAGGCAGCACAGCACGCACAAACAGCAGCGAGGCGCTCACCTCTGGGTGCCAGAGCACCCGCTCTTCTCCCCGTCGCCAATCAGCCCAGCTCAGCGCCCGCTTCAGGAAGCGCTGCTCGCTGCCGTGTTTGCCCGAGCCGGGGAGGGAGAGCCCTGACAAAACATGCTCAGAGGTCTGCCAGGCAGGATGCAAACACAGGGCTTTCCTGGCTGGCCAGCGCGCCAGTCCAACAGAAGAAACCAGCCCAGCTGATTCCAGCTCCAGGTATGCCCACAGACCCTTCCTCACCTCCACCGGAGGCAAGGGGGAAGCCCAAACAGCCCCATTTGCTGGACAACCACAGTTCCCATCCCAGAACCATTCCCAGTCACTTCTGCCCTGAAGAGTGCTGCGCGAGGGTGCGGAAGGCTTAAGCCATATGGGCAAACATGCCAAGGAAACCCGATTTGTAGCTTCCCCTTTATACTTCTGTGCTTTCAGAGAAAGAAGAGGGGTCACGGTGCTTCCTTGCGCTTGTCTGAACCCTTAGCTGTGCAGGCCCTGTCCAGCTGAAACAGGTCTCAAACCCTTCCTTAGACTCTGTCAGACATCAGCTGCCTTGCTGGGACACCTTTGACTGCTCTTACTGTTATAAGGACAGCAGCCACAGGAGACTTAAGATTATTTTGCAGGTATCTTATTCCTTACTAAATCACACCAGGGAAGTTCAAGGCACACCTAGTCCAGGCAACCATGCTAATAACCTTCCAGCATGACTAGCTTTTCACTTCGCCCCATTCCCAGGCAAGCCTAGGAAACAAGGCCTAGGACTACTGGCCCCAGCAGGTAGTTCTCCATCATTAAGTTAATTAGAGGATGTGCATAATGAAGCAGAGGATGCTGGGCCCTGTAGTCTGCAGGTCTCACCTGCTTTGGGATCAGGTGGGTGGTGGCACACTGCAGGATCAGGCTGTGGTCTTTATTTTGACCTGCTCCCTTACTCCAGACACTCATTTCTAGTTGGCAGGTTTGCCAAAAGCAGCTCTCTTACCTTCACTGGGTACAAAACCTCACGAGATGAAAAAGGTTTGGCATGCTAAATGCTGGCAAGAAGAGGCTATATCCAAGCTAGTCTCTTAATAACTTCTATTTGTCTTCCAGGCTGGAAGCCCGAATGGTGTTTCAAGGCTCCTAGTTAAGCTACACAACAGGGGTTACTGCATTGGGCTGAAACTCAGGCATGTCCCATTTGACCACCAACCTCTCACCTCAGGAGACCTGGGCTGGAACACAGCTCCAGCCACAGGCGTGATGACCAGCTGCAGCCCCATTTCAAGCAGACATCTCTCATGGTAAAGAGCAGCACAGGCCAGCTGACAGCACTCACCCAAGGACACCAGCAGCCTGAAAAACTAGGTAGCAGCAAGGTACAGCACGAATGCACCATGCAGGTAGATAACCAACATATTGGGGAAAACCCCTCCTCTGCCGTCACCTCGTGGAGACCCTGGTGTCTGGCTGATGTGCTCAGATTTCCTTTATCCGAGTGGAACATCAGATGGCATTAGCTGGCTTGCTCCTAGGCACTCTTCCACAGCTACTGCCAGGACAGGAAAGACAGGGCGACACGCAGTTTTACATGGTTTAACTACAGCATGGCTGAATAAGCATCCTTGGGAGCCTCCCCCAGACCACGACCGCTGCAGCCACACAACTGAGTACTAACACAGCGCAAGCTCAGTCTGACAGCTCCCTTTAAGATCTGGAGT